TCATTTGCATATGAATGTGTCAGACACAAGGTCACACAGCCACTGAAAAAAATCTCTGATTTTGGTGTTTTCATCTGCCGATTTTATCGAATTATAGCTATCCTATTCCTTTATTTTTTTGGTTTCCAATAGCCTTACACATGTGGATGCCCCTACACATGTTAAAACAGACCTTGATGGGAAAACAAATTGATTGTGCCGATAAACAAGCTTGAAAATCATTGCTGTGACTTCATGGACATTTTCTAGGAGTTTATGTTTTTCAAAATACACGGTTTTTAACAAAAAATAACGTATACTTATTGTCGTCAGATTAACACCAAATTTTCACAGCTTTGAGGTGACAATCAGAGGAACTTGAATGTGTCCAGACAAACTATTTCATGGATTATTTACCAACGTGTTGTGGTTTGAGTTCGGGGCAATGCGACTAAAACAGAAATTAAAATTCAGCACACAACTTTTTAAAAAGCGTTGCTTGAATAAAACTGACCAGACACATTCAATTTACCAGACTATTGAACAACTAGAAAAAGTGAAAAAAAAAACCTTCTTATCACCAGCAAAACTGCGTAATTATTTTTTTCACAAAAAAAAGTATTTTTTCACCTTTGATTGAGTAACGCGTCGTAGAATGCAGATACGGGCATGTAAAACACATTTTTGAAAAGCGTGAAGTCTGGCGCTTCCAAAAATATATACTTTCCTGGGCCTATTTGTAGTCATTTGGTCACAATTAGAAGATGAAAACAAGTATGCAAATAATAGTCCCGCTACCTTAATAAAGTTTTCACTAAAGTTAAAGGCTTCCAAAGATCTAAACAAAAAGTCCCATTCCAGTGAATCAAAAGCCTTCTCAAAATCAACAGTTAAAAGAATTCCTTGTAAATTACATTCATCTGTGTAGTCCATTACACCATCAAAGAGTCGCCCACCGTCCCCAATATTCCTATTTTTGACAAATGCAGATTGTGTCTTATGAATTATAAATGGTAATACTTTTTCCATGCGTTTTGCAAAGCATTTGGTGCAAAAATTTAGCAATGATATTGGTCTCCAATTTTTTATAAACGGTTTATCTTTACCCTTTTCTTCCAGCAATGTTATTGCACCCTGTCTCTGAGATGGTGAAAATTCACCCTTCACTAAGACAAAATCAAGGGAATTGACAACATATGTACCAACCAATGCCCAAAATTCTTTTAAACAATCTGAGGAAAGACCATCATTGCCAGGACATGTATTTGATGCAAATGACTTCAGTGCAACATATGCCTCATCCAGGGTAATGAGATCGCCACAGATATCCGATTGCTCTGTTGGGATATTAGGATTCCGAAGAAAATCGGAATAAAATAACCTGATTTCTTTGTTAATTTTGGCCGGATTGCTGATTAATTTATTATTGCTTCCAATAATTTTATTGACCTCAGATTTCTTTTGATTATGTTTTTCAAGCTGTAAACAATATTTATTGTTTTTCTCACCCAACTCGTCCCAATTTGAATGTGACCTAATAATACATCCTTCTGTAGCATAATTATACTTGTGCTGCAATGCATCCCTGACACTCAATTTGTTGGGTTAACAATGATACTCAATTCACTTAGCTCTTTTTCTAGTTGAGCTATCTTGGACCTGTGTTCTTTTGCTTTTACTGAACTCAATTGATGCTTGTTTGATCTTGTATTTGATCCAAACCCATTTCACTCCATCG